GCACCCAAAAAAAAAAAAAATCAACCAATAACAAATGCTGGCAGTGCTGTGAGGAAAAAGGAACACTTCTCCACTGTTGGTGGGAGTGTAGACTGGTGCAACCACTGTGGAAATCAGTATGGAGATACCTCAAAAAACTAAGATTAGAGGTCTCATTTGACCCAGCTATTCCCCTGCTGGGTATCTTCCCCAAAGAATTAAAAGAATCATACCACAGCGATATATGTGCACCCATGTTTATAGTGACACAGTTGTAATAGCCCAAACTTGGAAACAGCCCAATTGCCCATCATCTGGAGACTGGATAAAGAAGATGTGGGTTTTTTTTAAATAAAATGGAGTACTATTCAGCCATAAAGAATGAGAGACTAGAGAGATTTATAGATAAATGGATGCACATTGAGGCCATACTCTTAAGTGAAATAAATAGGACACATGTGTAAATATTGAATAGTTTATCTAGTGTGAGAAACTGAAAGTATAAATAAGGATCAAAAGGTATAATGTGATATAGGAATAGATAATGTGAAATAGGAAGAAAAGTTCCAAAGGGGCAGGGGAAGTGGGAGGGGTAGGGAAAAGGAAAGGAATAAATATGAGAAAAGTAAAAAAACAGAAATAAAGTCTTTTTTAATAGAGAGGGGTGGAGAGGTTGAAGGGAGGGCAGGGGAATGGGGAAAAAATAAGAACCAAGATATATCATGTAAAGGTACAAATTCCCAATGATGAATGTCATCATATTGTATTCCTAAAATGTACCAATAAACTTAATGAATAAAAAAATAAGACTAAGTCTGAAGCCTGGCAGACTGAAAAATGAAGATATGTTTTATTTGACCTTCAAATATATTTTAAATTTAATTTGTTGAGTTTTTACTACTTGTCATTTTCTTGCTCCACATAATCCACATAAGAGATAAGGTGGGATAAGTATGTTTGGAATGAAGGAAAGTATTTTGAGGGGAATTAATGACAATGTGCCTTTTACTGCAATTAAAATTTTCATTTAAACTTTTACTGTATGTTTTGATCATCCCTTATATTTTGTCATCTGTGTGGCCCTGAAGCCATCTGAGTTTGTGATCTGTTTTAGAAAGTTACTGTGTAACTTTTATAACATATAGAAGTATGAATAACAGGTTTTACTGTACACTACTGGTTGACATGCAAATTTTTAAAATATTTTTGGAGACTATTTGACTATATTTATTAAAATATTAATTCCTTTTACTCTTCCATTTTTCTAGTAATTCTATAGAAAACTCATATAGGGACATAAAGGATGTTCACTGACACATTGTTTATAACAGTAAAATTTTGAAACCTTCTAAATACCTGTATTAAAAAGTTGATTTAGTAAATTATAGGCAATCCAAATATTGGAAATTTACATAGCTCCTTAGTAAAAGAATGAGGTAGTTCTAATTTATGTTTACATGGTAAGAAATTAAGTAAATATTAAATTTTTTAAGAGGCAAAATATTCTTTTTCTATGAATAATGATTAAATATGATTAAAACAGTACATTAATATATTGGTTATATAAACTGATAATGGTGGTTATCCATGATAGAGTGAGACTTTTGTGAATCCTAAACCCATATTCATATAGTGACAGTTAAATTATTAGAGCAAGTATATACAACACACAATTAAAAGCTAAATACAGATATCCAAAACAGTCAACTTTCTACAAAAATTATCAGATAAGAAACCATGTCTCTATTTTTATACCTGAGAGTTGACTACTCATACAGTAAGAATAAATCTGTACATTTTATATTATAGACCAATTTGTAAACACTAAGATTGTTTCCCAGTTTTTTATTGCTTTTTAGTTTTCCTTTTTAAATGAATAGAATTCACTTTTAGACATAAAGTAAAAAAGAAAAAGCCCTAAATATTTATGTACATATTTTTCATAGATGTAAGAAGAGAACATATTTAGACCTTTATGAAATGTTGTGTGCTAGAGACTGGATGTATTCTAAATGCTTTAGCTATGTCTTCTTTTTGCCCACAATATAAAATTCTTTAATAGCCTGTTTTTGAATGAAAACAAAAGCATATTCCTTCAACTGTTGAAAAGAAAACCTTGTCATCCTAACCTTAATCACAAAGTAAGTAGTGGTTTGAAAAATAAGCTTGGTAAAATTTAGATGCCCTGTCCTTATATACCATTTGGTCTACAGATAGACAGATGATATACAAGATGGCCTTCCTGTCATCCAGGATAGGTCCAGGCACGAGGCAAACCTGCATTCAGGGGAAGGAATTTGTGTGCTAGCCTTGGAAATTTTATGTCTAGTCTGGCCACAGTGACAGGTTTATTGCCATGATGAGAGAGAAAACCTTGCTAGCCTAGAGAGGGACTTGAAAATGAGGAAGGGATCACAGCCTGGAAAATGAGATCATGGCTTGGACTATTGTCATCATTATTGATAGCAAGCATATATTGAGAACTTCCTAGATGAGAGGGCTGAATTAAGTGCAGTGAGGCTGATGTTATTAAATCCACATGAAAACCTGATTTATGTCTACAGTTGATTTAATGGTATACTTGATCATTCCAGGCATCACCAGAATTGGTCAGGTATGGAAATTGCTGCTTCCCTTAAAACTATGAGTTCTCCTCTCAGAAAAATTCACACACACAAATCTGTGTGTAATATCAGAGGATTGTTCCACGACAGTCCTGATTATGCTTTGAAGTGATTTGCTTAGATTAACACTATAATTAGAAAAGACCATCTAGTTTTCAACCCCAAGGTATGTACCATTTGTGTACATACCTTGAATATAGAATACTTCCAAATTCATTTTAAGTAAGTTCAAATATGTCAAGACAACTTTGCTAAGCTTTTGTCAGTTTAAATATAGTACTGTCATACATATTCTCATTGTGGGTTAAGTGGTAATAGTTTTGTAGTTGTTGTAATGTTAGCTCAGGATACACAGTTCAGAGCTTGAAAATGCAGATTCATTTGACTGCAAATTATTCTTACTTGTCTATTTTTACTAATTATGTAAATGAGTTTCTTCAAAGTCCATCTCAATATGCTTCTTTATTTCTTTTCTCCTCTAACAGTCAATGGGCTAAACCTTCCATAATGTTTTCATGAATCTCAGCTGAACATGGTTTCACATAACTCTACCCATCAGCTAACATGCCAGTACCCAAAGACCATATGAAAATGACAACTTATTATTTAAAGTATTGGTTCCATCAGGTGAACAGTAAATAATGACTGTCTTTAAGATTTTTGGGGTTTTTTCCACGTGTTTATTGACCTCAGCTTTATGAAATTACTTTTAGAATTTTTAGAGTGCATAATGTTAAATGTGTCAAATCCTTTAACTCATTACAGTGACCAGAAATGTATAAGGTTTTTTCAGCTCTGACTCTGCCATGAAGATTTATTTCTGGAAGGATCTGCTCTTCCTTCCAAAAGTGATGTTTGGTTTTTTTTAATTTTTCAAAAAGTATAATATTCTAAATTAAAATTAGCATAGCTTATTGTTGACACAGTGTGATCAAGACTTCTGATCTTGAGGTGTTTGATTATCCTAGTGATTTTCTCATGACTTTTGATTTGTTTTAGGTGTGTTAATGTTCACCAGATGTACACCAAATTAAACTGATGATGCAATTTCTGGCATCACTCACTTTTTATCCAGAGCAAAACAACTTGGTTCTGTACTTAATTCAAATCCTATTCATTTACAGAGCCAAAGATGGCTTTGAAAAATTTATTATGTACTCAAGCAGCTACCAAAATTAATTTCTTGGACTATTAGGTTGGCTCTTTTCTATTTCTGGTGCAGTCATTGTGGGAGCAACTAAGTTCTGAGTCTTACAGGTCTCTCTGTTGCTTAGCTTGCTCTCCCCACCGGTTCTCTTCCCTGTCTCCCACTGTCTCACAGCATTTTCTTTTTTCTCTTTTGCTCAGTTCCTTGTAGTCTTTAGCTGTGAAAGGGGGATTTAAATTTCTCAAAAATGATGTTTAATCTTAACTCATATACATACGTTTCATGTTATTGAAAACATGAACGTATCACTGGTAATTTTGCTTCATATCTTATAGTAAGTAGACTTACAACCCACATGGAAGAATTATCCCTTCTTTCCTTAATTGCTTTGAGTGTTAACAAGTAGTTTATGCTAAGAAACATGCTTTAAGGGTGCATAATAGGGCAGAAAACAAAAATGAAGCACTGTTACTCTTACAGCCATGCATTAACTATTAAATGCATTTTTATATTTCTTAGTAAAATGAGAATTTAAACTGTCATTGACCATTAAGTCATAATATTGTTCAACAGTTTTGGAGAGATAGCTTTTTAATGGATGTTGTATAGAAAACAGTAATGATCACTTAGTACATCTCAGATCTGTAAATCTGACTGTAATGTTATTGTGTCCATTGAAGGAAATATAAATGCAAAAGTGAGATTTAATTTAGACAACCTTTTCCCTAATATTCTTAGGTTTATTATTGCTGAGAAAGAAGAAAACTCACTGTAAAATAATGCCAACCCACATAATGCTATAATAAATTATTTTGTACATGAAAAAAAAAGAAAACGTCAATGTATACATACGTTCCAGTTATTGAAAATATTAAATGTTATACTACAGGAGAACAAGATTAGAAAATTATGAAAATGTATGTTTTCAATCAAATAGATGAATAAATAATAGGCATCAATATTAAATATGTATTAATTAACACCTGCTATAAGAATATGTTGCACTGGGTACATATTGTTTCCATATTGCTCCATATATATGGCATTCCCAAAAGAAATTAAAAACAGGATGTAAAAAACTCAAATGGGAGATTCTGTCTTCCCTTTCTTCTCCCATATTCAGAGGGCTCTCCAAAAGAACTATCCACTGCAGTTCAGGTCTCTATTTTTTTTTTTTTTTCCGCATCACTCTATTGTCTCTGCTGTCCAGGATAGAAGATAAACAAAGCCTCTTTAAATGTCTGGAGATGGAGATGAAAAAATTTACCCTCTTGTTACTTGCAAGTTCAACTCTATGCTGCTTTTTCATGTTTGTGATACAGGAACAAAGCAAGGGTGAAAGAAGCTACTTTGTGCCAGTGGGATTACAAATTCTCAGCTGGTGAGTACTGAATTTTAGGTATTTGTTCATAAGGCCATTCAGAGTGTGAGTCTCAAGGGGATCAGAGGCCCTTAATATTAGGATTGTCACCTTGGATTTTCCAAAGGAAAATATCCTTTCATCCTCTCTATGCTATGTATGATATTCATCTGTTCTATAACATTAATGTCATATTATGAATAGCTGAAAGGGTTTATTATCATCAATTAGTATGTCAGTTTTAAAGTGTAAATGGACAGAAAAACATTACTACTTCAAATTCATTTGTTATGAATTATTAGCAAGTATTCAGAACATAACACCTTCTTTAAAAGAGCTCACATTTTTAAACAAAATTGTTTATGGTATCTAAAAAATCATTGCTTTACCTACTCAGAATTTTCTTTTTAATTAATATACTTATTCATTCCTATTAACATTTTCTCATTTTTGTTTTGCTTTTCATTTTCTTCACATTCCTCTATTTACTTCT